AGAGAAAGAGTTTTGGACCCTCAGTGAGATTCTGATCAGGGTTCTGGGTATGTATCAGTGGTTTATCCTGGAAGGATGTTTGAGGATATCGTCAGTATATCAGGTTATCCGCACCTGAGGGTGCTAGAGCTAGATCAACATGTGTGTGTGATTGCGAGAGGAGAACTCGGGGGAGTTACTCCGAGATGGAGGAATGGGTCTTTCGGTCGGCATGGGATGGATAGAGTGGAATTCGGATCGGGACTTTGATGGTTCGTGGCTTTATAGCCATATGAGTCAAGTGAAAGATGAGGATTTGAGTAATAAGGCATCATGGGTAATTCTCAGTTGTTGAGCGTGGTTATCGGAGGGTACAGCTGGTGCCGGTTTGAGTAGGTGGTGGGGACACCGTATGGAAGGAGAAAGTGAGCTTCTAGTTCTATGGTTGTACCTTGAGGGACTTGGTTCGGTCAAGGTCATGTGACACGTTGTGGGAAGTATTTTGAGGATGGGATGTCGTAGGCTTCGAGGACGAAGCCTAAACTAAGCGGGGGAGAATTGTAACATCCCGGAATCGCAGGAGTAGAGTTGAAGGGCTAAAAGTGTAAGTTTCAGAGGGTGACTCGGCGAGTCCATGGGTAGACTCGGCGAGTCAGGTCGCGGCAATGGTCGCGTGTCAAGTGGCCTACTCGGCGACTCCTTAGGATGGACTCGGCGAGTAGGTGCTGTATGGAGCAAACCCTAATTTTCGGGGTTGAGCCCTATATAAAGAGCATAATACCCCTCCACAGCCTCCCTTATTCCCCCCTTGAGTTCCAGAAACCCTAAACTCGTGGAGGGATCATTGGTGGAGCCAATTAGAGCTTGGAGAGGTGTTGTTTGAAGAGATCTTGAAGGAGAAGTGGTTTGGTTCAAAGGGCTTTTCTTGGATCCGAGTTTGGCTGCTATTGAGGCATCTTTTGGAGGTAATATCTTCATCCTTAGGCTGTGCATTCCTAGTTCCATCATTTTGGGTTGTGTGGGGTGCTTGGTTGTGTGACATTTTGATGTTGGAGGTTGGATCTGAGGTTGCTACCTCAGATCTAGAGTGGAGAAGACCTTAAGAGCATTAAAGCCCCTATCTTTGTGTTGTTAATGAAGCTACCATGTCCCAAACCTTGGTTCTAAGGTGAAAATGGCTTAGATCTCATTAGATTCACGTAAAGTTTGCCACTTTACGTGATGGATGGATTGTAGGAGGTTGGATCTATGTTTTGGATCAATTGCATGGCCTGAGATGCTTCTGTATGGATTCAGACCGGTGGAAACTCGGCGAGTCATATGGGTGGACTCGACGAGTTGCTTGAAGATGGCCTGGAACTCGACGAGTTGGAAGAACAACTCGGCGAGTAGGTTGAAGATGGCCTTGGACTCGACGAGTCCATTTGGACTCGGCGAGTCTTGTCGAGGAAGTCCCAATATTTCTGGTTGAGTCGATGAATCGGTGAGTCAAGGGATGACTCTGTGAGTTGGGTGCGAGTAGACTCAGAGTTGTTGCACTCGACGAGTCTTGGGATGACTCGGCGAGTTGGGTCGCTAATTGAGGGAAGTTCTGAGCATAAGGACTCGGTGAGTCATCGGGTTGACTCGGCGAGTAGGGTCAGTCAGGGGTTGACTTTGACTTGTCCAGGGTGGACCAGTTGTCTTCCAGGGGTATTTTGGTAATTAAGGGTATTGATTGGGTTATTGTTTGATGTTCAGTGGAGGAGTTGTGTCAGAGTTCGGAGCAGCGGGATCTTATCTTTTTAGCCGTCAGTTTCGAGGTGAGTTATCCTCACTATATCAACAGGGTCTAAGGCACCAAGGCCGGCCCTTTATTGTATTGAGATTCATTTATGTCTATCATGTTATTGTTGGTTGTGTCTGCATCCTGGTAGTTAGGATGGTACATGCTAGGGGACCTTGTTAAGGTCAGTTTCTCGATATACAGAGTGATGCTATGCTAGTGACCGGTTAGGTCGGTAGCCCGGTTAGGGTAATGATATGCTATGTGATCTGCTTACTCGGTTTGTTGATTATGACTGTTATATGAATGTATGTTTTGTGCACATGGTTGTTTGGACTAGAGATGGGTTGAGGCGGGTCCTGCTTTGTGCTGTAGGCCAAGATACCCAGGGCGGACCGGTTGTTCCGAAGGCCCAATGAGCGGTCCGGATAGGCTGTAGGCCCCACGTGGGCGGACCAGACGTGCTGAGGCTCGGAGAGTGGACCAGGCCGACTGTAGGCCCGATGCGGTCGGACCAGTCACACTGTAGACTCAGAGAGTGGACCAGGTGGGTTGAAGGCCCGATGCGGGCGGACCAACCTCACTGTAGACTCGAAAGACATGACTAGACCCGGGAGATGGATCCGATGGATTGAAGGCCCGATACGGCGGACCAGTCACACAGTAGACCCGATGTGCATGGCTGTTCTATGTCCTGTTATGTTATGTATGTTTTATGTGTTTTGGACCGGAAGGTCGCGGCCTGGAAGGGCGTATACGTAGTTGGTATTTTGGGGGTATCTCACTAAGCTTTCGGGCTTACAGTTGTGGTTTAATGTTTTTCAGGTTCTTCAGGAGACTGTGGCAAGGCGAAGGCACGATCGTACCGCTCCTCATGATTTCGTAACAACGTGATTCTGGGAATACTTAAATGACTTGTATTGAAAACCTTTTTGTAAACATCTTAATGAAAATCGGGTTGTTTTGAAAATTTTAAATTGGTTGTGTTTTTCGGACGTTATAATAACTATTTTATAGTATAAAATAATATTGTGGATTTTTCACCACATAAGTATCGCACATAAGTGTCGCACCTTGTTGTGAAACTAAATAGTTTTGCATGATCTCGCAAGGTCATAGGTAAAAGAATACAAATGTTACCTAATGATTTTGAATGTACTAGTATTGTTGGTTACAAGAATAATATACAATTTAAAATGTTAAAACACTACTAGAAAAACAGCCTTTTACGACGCTCATTGCGCGTCATAAAAGGCTCAGACGACGCGCAAATGCGCGTCAAGGAAGGCCCTGTCATAAAGAGAGACGACGTGCATTTACGACGCGCGTTTACGACACGCAATGCGTATCAAGGAAGGCCCTGTCATAAAGGAAGACGACACGCATTTGCGTGTCGTAAGCGTACGACGCGTGTGTTAATGACACGCAATGCGTATCTAGAAAGCCCCTGTCAAGAAAGGCCATGTCATAAATGAATATGACACGCATATTTGCGTATCGTAAACTTAAATGTTTAAAAAAATAAATTTATATATTTATTAATTTTTAAATTAAATTTTCATTTAATTTATTATAATAGAAATAAAATACCTTATCCAACAAATACAATCCATTGCATAATATAAAATAAAATTTCATACTCAAAAAATAAAATAAATTGCACAAATTATAATGTCATACAAAGAATCATTCAAATGTTAAATAAAAATAATACATTGCTAACATGTGTTATACATTCCTATAAAACCAACAAATAATCATACAACTCTGTTTCTTACTGGAAAGGAATGCTAAACATGATTACAAGTCTCCCTTAATCTTGATTACTCACCTGCTTAAGTAGAATGTTGTTGTTGAAAAGGTTACCTAGCAACAGAGAAAAACACAACACCTCTCCCACAATCACAACATCATTTACAGAAAAAGGGTTGTCAATTACTTTCATCATCACAACCTGTTTTTTATTAAATAAAAAAGGAAAGATTAATTAATCACTTACAAAAAAGTTTTGATACTCAAACAAATCTGCCCGTTGAGATTCAGCCTGCCCGATTTCATTAGAACACAAACACAATCTGGACAAGAATTACTCTCACTGCCCTCAAAAAACCCTGAAGTGAATAAAATGTTCCAAAATTATTCAAAAATATCATATTTTCTCAAAATGAGGTTTTCCACATTAACCAACTCCTAACATTTTCTCAAAAATATTATTTAAACATCATTTACATTTTTTCTTTTTAAAAAAGAAAAAACATAAGGTACCTCAGTTAAACACAAAACTTTAGTTGGAATCTCATTAGGTAATCTAGGTAATCCGGGAAGATTAAACCCTCCAACTTGTAAGGCCATTTTCGACAAATAAAAACATGAAGTTTCAAAGCATTGAAAGTACAATAATAATAATAATAATAATAATAATAATAATAATAATAATAATAATAATAATAATAATAATAATAATAATAATAAACTCTGTAGTACCTGCATAGCTATATGTTGTTGATCCTAGGCAATAATGGTCTCCTGTTCAGATTTCATCTGCCCGCTGCAGTTAAATAAAGAGCACCAAAAACATCAGATTTATCATAAACTTGTTCATAATAATAAAGCCCACATGGATTGAGAAAAATTTTAATTAATAATAATAACAATAATAATAATAATAATAATAATAATAATAATAATAATAATAATAATAATAATAATAAAGGATATTTTAAATAAAAACCTGATGGTTGCACCTGGCATTGATCTATCAGAACCTTAGTCTCTGGTCTCAGGTTTGCATCAAACCTGAATCCAAAATAAGTGATTGGAAAAGCAAAATCTCAGCTATCGGAAGCTATACACGTAAAAACACAACTGATAAAATATCATCTTGTTTATAAATAGAATGAGCTTGTAAATATTTGTATGTAAAGTTGGTTTATACTTCACTTCTTGTAGATTGGTAACAGGAGGGCATATACCTACAAAATCATTGTTTTAAAGGTCAAAATACCATTAAATGTTTGAAAGACCTCAACATTGAAGAACCTTCTACTTAACTCTCAGTTGGCTCATTCAGCCTTCAAATTGTGCTCCTAACTGTAACAGCACTTGCAATACTATCATCATTCATATACAAACAAACAAAAAATATATATCAGTAAATTAAAAACATTAAAATATCAGAAGAAAATTTAAAAATTAAATATTATTACTTTAATGTGTATGGACCCCCTGCTTTCACTTTCCCACAGTCCTTGCAACTCTAGATTCCAATCTCCCTCTGTTGGTGACTCCATTGATTCCCACTGCCACTGCCAAGTGTTAGCAGCTTCTCCACGTGTTCGAATACAACACAAAGCCATTTTACATCTTGGATTATTTCCATATCACCCGGTAGCTTGTTTGCTGCCAATGCAATAAGTCAAAATAAAAAAATGACTATTTTACCCTTGTGTCTAAAAATTGTAAATGAGACATTACACATACCTTGTAACGACTTCAATGCAGAAGCAATGGTGAAGTATAATTGGTCGATTTTTATTGTCATGTTCTTTAACCTACCAAATCTAGTCTGGTTAAGAGTGTCCGCTGCAGCTCTGAAAGCAGTACACACCATTTGCTCTAATAATTGATGTGGTCTTACTGTTTCCAGATTTTGAACACCTCTTATTTTTCTTGACCCACCCATCGATAGATACAAACGGTAATACTGCCATGAGAACAATATATAACCGATTATTATAACTTGATATATATACAAGATGCATGAATGGAAAGATGTTGACAAAACGGTTATAATTTGGTCAAATGACTGTTTGTCTAATTTGTCAATACTTGAGCAAATAGTTCGCATTTTGTGAGATGGTACACCACATATCTCTAGCATTTCATCCAATAACTTTCTATGGTTCAACTTTATCTGTGCATGGTGGAATGTCACTTAAGTAGAAGAAAAGATAAGGAAATGAAATTGAAAATGTGACTAAAACACTTACCTCATAATCACCAATGTTTAGCTCATCTAGTAGTTCAACCAAGATCCTAACCACCTCAAAGTCAGCTGCTATTGTTTCATCACCAACAATGTCAAAATCACATTGATAAAATTCACGGTGTCTTGCTTTAGATGGGTTGTCTCTTCTATACACTTTTTCAATTTGGTACCTTCTGAAAGATGTAAGACCATTCATAGCAACATATCTCGCAAATGGAACCGTCAAGTCATACCGGAGGGAACAAATCTCCCCACCATAAAAAAACAAACAAAAACTTTGCCCAATGGCTATCAAAGGATATATCACTGCTTAAAAAAACAAAAATATATAACTTGGTCAACTAGATCATAAATCAACTTTGAATCTTCACTGCATTTTCCTGTAAGAGTTTCCCTCAGTGTTTCAAACACAGGAGTATCAAGTGCCATTGCACCGTGCCTCTTAAAGACATTGCCAACGATTGCAAATGCTTTCTCTCGTACAACCATTTGTTCTTTTGCAAAATCACGAGTCCCCTGTAAATTTTAAAAAGTAAGATGATTATATATATATATATATATCAATCAAGAAACAAATAAATATTTTATCAAAGATAAAACATAAGCATGCATGGTATTATTACTTTGACGAGCTTTGGAAGCCTTCTGCTTTCATTGCTTTCATTGCTTTCAACGACTTGTTTTATTTTTGGTAGTAGACTTTCAAAGTGGGAAAGGAAACATTGTGCCACTTTCTCCGGGAGAGTTGAGCATGAGTTGTCGTTTACATTGTTAGCCACAAACACAGACAGTAAATTATCTTTTATAAACTGCATCAAAAGAGTTGTGCCTTTTCCCATAACCTTCTTTTTCTTGTCGGGTTTCTCATCAATACCCTCTTCCCCTTTCATACTCCCCTCCAGTGATATAAACGAAATTGTGTCTTCCCAAGAAAGAATCTTTCTTACAGCCTTGGACAAAATATAAAGTTCATGCAATGATTCGATATACTTGTCTTCCAACTCAAACATTGCAGCAGCCTTAATGGAGTTATTCAACCTGTCAAGACCAGGGCATCCAGCATTGAAACTATCAACCAAAGTAGGATATATGTTATGGTTTTCGAAGCCCTTTAGACAAATATGTGCTCGGTGCCAACTACTCTTGCCAAGATTCTTAAGGGCACGAGCTAGAGAAGAGAAGAGTCCGGTCAAATCCTCACTGACACTTCCATTTCCATTTGAGAATGGGGTAGAAGAATTCACTGCAATTCGAGTTGAAGAGTGGATTGATTTGTAAAGAGACCTTATACGACCATGAACTATAGGAATGTTATCAACTTGGTCACACTGTAGATTACCACATAATTTTGAGCAATTAAGTAAAACCTTCATAACACTAGAAACATAAGTCACGTCTTTATCAGAACAGCCATCATCAGAATCTGTGAAGCTGAAGGCAGTGGAAGTGTCGGCCTTCAAGGCCTCACAAGACAAGGCAGCAACAGCATCAGCAACTGGTGCTAATGAGGAGGCGGTGTGGTCTAGGAGAGCACCTCGATCTAAAAATTGTAAGAGAGAGAGAGAGAGAGAGAGAGAGCATTCAAAAGGAATAAACATGGGAGTTTATTAGAGCGAGAGAGATGAGAGATGAGAGAGGAAGAGAGAAATGGAGGGGAAGAGTACCTGCAACCCGTAAAATTTACCTTCACTGTGTCTTCAATTGTGTTGTTGAAGTAGGCCCAGTAAATTACGTAGTCAATCCAACTTCCTTCCACACAATCTTCTTTTCTCAATCCCAATTTCGGGAAGTTTTTGGTCATTAGAGCAAACCATCTTCTCCCCAAATCACTCTAAACCCTAACCCCTAATTCAGTAATCCAACAGTGGGATTAATTTTTTATTTACGGGAAGATAGAGAGGAAGAAGATGAATACGAAAGTAAATACGCCAGAGCAGTCAACCATGTTATGTAATTGCTTCACCATTGGGCCCCATCGTGAGTTGCAGTAGGGAGTTGTCAACATGAAGAGTCGCAAACCCCCAATCGCCGGTTCTATGAAAGATTTTGTGAGGGACAAGAAGTGGTGATAGAAACTAGGGTTTTTGTGGGAGACAGAAAAGCAAAATAAGAAGCGAGTCTGATTCTTTGGTCGCCGATTTTATTATATGGAGCACGAAGAAGATAACAGCGGGGGAGAAGAAGATAGATCCGACGAAGGTAAAAAATATGGAGCAAGGAAGAAGGAACATGAATGGCCAGTGATTGTGTCTAGGGTTAGAGAGAGAGAGAGAGAGAGATGAGGGAGAGAATGGCTCTGTACGAGAGATAAGGCGACCCATAGGATCAGAGTGAGAAGCGGGGTATTCAAAATTTTAGAATTTTAGATCCCTCTTTAAAAACGCGTGTTTAGTTAAAAAAATATAAAGCGACATTTGTAGACGACATACACTTAAAATAAGCGCCCTCCGTGTTTTTAATTTTATTTATTTGACACCAATTGTAGGGCACGCACACATGCGTGTTCTCTATCCTTCAAATTCTGGAAAACTGACATCGTTTTATACGGCACGCACAAATGCGTATCCTCAATTAGCGCGTGTCATTGATTGCACGTCGTAAAAGGCTGTTTATCTAGTAGTGAAAGTCTTTTCATTTGTTGATTTTTTACAAGTTCGGGGATTATCATTAAATAATTATTCCCAAACTTTACAGGTTTATGTAAATTTTGAAGGTATAAAGTTGGACGAGTGGAACAATTGGAAACATCAGAGGAAGCAAAATTTAAAGGTCTATTGCTATAAGTTTTATGAATTAAATGTATTTTCTTTTATGGTAATATTAAATGTCATATTATGTCATTTATAGATAACGTGTTATTATTTATTTATATATTATGTTTCTAAATGTTCACATGTATTACAAAGGAAATTAGCAAGTTACACCATCAACGTTGGTCAATGGAAACATTTAGCCTCGAATTGCTCATCTTCTTGCTATAAACGAGGTATATTCTTTTTAGTTATATAGTTTTGTTGGTAATTATCCATTTATTTTCGATCAATAATTACAAGAATCACGTACACCTCATAATAATATATTTGTGAATTTGGTATAAGTTTAAAAACTAATGGTGGATATATTAACTTACCAAACTCAACTATGGGTAATGTAACAACTGTGTCAGGCATAAGTTGCATGCTACTCCACCATGACTAACACGAAGAAACCCTAGACTTCTCATCCGATACAACACACCTCACTATAAATGCTCTACGTTCCTCAACAAACAAAAAGGGGCAACAAAAAAGTGGTAAAAAATGAAACAATTGTAAGGGTGTTCTACTATTAATCATTTTGCATGAAATGAACATCTAATACAATAAAAAATATGCATGTTTTCTAAGTAATGGACAAGCATATTTCTCAACTCAACAACACAACCATTTTTTCTATGATTTTGTGAACTATAACTTGCATCCAACCACCTAATTCTAACCATATAAGGGCCTTGGTTAAGCCGTTCCAATGGCCCTACAATAGTCTTTCACTTCTTCAGTATCCCACCATCAACCACTTGCACCATCATGTATGTCCTTTTTGACTCCGGATGGATAACGTAGCATCCGCACTTAGGGCCTAAAACTTTTAGATGTTAGGTTTTGTATGTATCCAAAACACTTAAACTAGGTAGTGAAAAAAATAAATTATGATATACCTAAGTGTACATGCAACCTATGGATGTATGGCTTCGCGCTTGAGCTCTCGTGCTCGTGACCTTGTTTACATGGAAATGACTCAAACCGGAATCCCTCTCTCGGTTCATAACCAGTAAACTCAAAAGTGCATATAGTCAAAATATAACCAGGAGGAGTTAAACTCTTAATGAATTCCTCCACAAGAAGGGAGAAAGAAGACGCGAAGCTTCAAGCCAAGAATAAGCAAGTATTATTGGATTTGGATATCTTCCACTGTTTTTGTTGGATTAAGTGTCGAATCACATAACTATAATTTGTATATACTTGAACTGATTGTAGCATAGTTTTTTTGGGTTGCCCTCATAACTAGCAACTGGACGACATGACTTTTGGAGAGAGAGAGAGGGAGAGAGAGAGAGAGAGGTTGATTTATTATATAATTAATAAATTGAAATAAATAATTTATTAATATGTTGTGAGAACAATATATTAATTACAAATAGTTATATATAATTAATATTTAATCAGAAATTAATAAAAATTAAAAGAATTAATTAAAAGTCTAGGGTCTAATGTCCAATTGTTCAATAGTTGAACAAGAGGCTCCAGAACCTTCTTGGAGAAGGTTTGATGGCTTCAATAAGGATATTCTAGGGTTTCTATAAATATAAATAAGGCGTTGGATAATTAACCATTTGAAATATTATTATTATCTTAAAATTTGGGTTATCTACAGCATCCTTGTTGGACAATAAAAGGGCCCTCATCCCGAAGGATTTTGGCCACTCATATCTTTAGACATATAACTAAAATTCTTATATGCCCCTCTCCTCTCTCCATATTCATCTTGTTGCTAGTGTTCGGTGTGAACCACTAGAGGCACGATATTTGTGGTGCTTTCTCTCAAGGCTTCAACAACACAAAGTTCTTTGTTATTTGTCAACAACAATCAAGGTATGTTTCTCTTAGCCCTAATCACATTTTCGAAAATATGTTAGGTATACTAGTGTTTCTTATTTGATGTTGAAAGTTGTATATTTAATTAGAGAAAACATACATCTTATTCTAGGGTTGCATGCACACTTATTTTTTTATTATTTATTTATTTTTTTGTTTTGCGTAAAACCGATCAGTTTTATCATTCCACCCTTATGTGATGAGATATCCCCAAAATGAAATTCCTTTTAATTCTAATATGAATACTATCCACCATAGGTTCTATAGTATTCATGATTAATAAGCTATTGATAAACTGCTATTCAACCCATAGTTGTCAAAATCGCGATCCTGATCGTAGGATCGTATGATCCTACGATCTTAGGTATGAAAAACGATCCGGATCGTAAAAGTATCGTATTTGGGGTAGAATCGCAGGTAAGGTAGGATCGTAGGATCGAGATCCGATCCGATCCTACCTTTCTTTGATTTTTTTTTTTTTTTTTCAAATGAATTTTTTTTTGCAAATGAATTTTTTTTTACCACTTTATGCCTTTTATCCTTTACCAATCTACCATTTATCATTTTTTATTGTGATTTATGACTAATATTTTGAAATTTTTATAACTTTTAAATGAAAAACTAAATGTTTGAAATAGTTTTCATGATTAAATATTATAAATTAAAATTATATTCTATTTTGTGGGATCTTAGGATCTCGATCCCGATCTTACGATCTCGATCTTGCAAAACCAAAATCGATCCTAGGTAGGATCCCGATCTTGACAACCTTGATTCAACCCTTAAATTAATTAGACTATTAATTAATTCTCATAATATTTTCAAATTACTTTATAATTAGTTATTAAACCATAATACGTAATAAATCAATTCCCCTTTTGTTGATTCTACTTGATTTGAGTATTGAAGGCAATTCAAGAGAACATTCCTATTATTATAGATATCAACAATAGTTAATGATCTTGGAGACACTTTCCAACAGTCTACCACTTTGACAGACATCAACTATAGATGACGTTGTTTTGTCAAAAAGTAATACTTGCAACACTATTTGGAATCACATTGCTCCAACCAAGGAAAACATCTTAATTTGCATGTTAGGCTTGGTCATCTATACACTAGATTGAACCTCCTTAGAATTAGGATCCCTTTGCAATCATCTATATGAGCCCTCCGTGCGACAAGCAATGAATCTGTGCCCATCATGTATTTATTTGAAGTTGGGCCACCTCTACTCTGATGGCCCTGTTATGGATATTGTAGATATGGCAATCAGGTTGTCTTCCGTTTGAAATTCAAGAGCAGCAAAGAGTTAGTAGGTGATAAAAGTATTATATAGCTAGAAATGATGAATAGTTTTGTTAGTAAATATGCTCTCTCAATCCTGGCAGATGTGAAATTTTTTGCCATCAACAAAGGTTGGACTGACATTTTCAAATACGGGAAGGTATTGAAACGCTGATACATTTGAAGTGTTGTTCCTTTGTGAAACGTGTGCTTGCATCTGAGGAGAATAGATTATCAGTAATGCGAAATATGTTTAATGGATCATGAAGTATTCAGACTCATATGCATACATTCATACACCAACATATACAAATACACATTTCATATATATTTATACTCATACAAATAACTTGACAGAAAATAAAACAGGTTTTAAACAAAGATTAATCCACCCTGTAACCAAAGAAACCTACATCCGCTACTTTTATCAGCAAAGGAATGTATAAGATCGACCAGTAGATGTTTTGTACTAAGGATTTTTTAATAGATCGAAGTACTCGATGTATATATACAGTTCAAGTTGGCCTCTGTTATAACAAAAGTTCATGTTTAATGCTTTCACGGTTTATCTAATACACTAAACATAAGAGGCCTATACAGTTAATGTAATACGAATTGTCCTGATTTATTGACTGAAGAAATTCGCATCTGGGATGCACACATGTGGCTGGTAGATGATATCACCAAGCAAATGCAGTCGGAAATGAAACATTAACCCATAAAACTTTATGAGTCCACAATAGAGGTGACAATTACAAACTGCACATATAAAAAATTAATCATATTAACATGAAGATATTTTGACCATCATTATTGGTAAAGGAGTTGTTGTATTAAAAATTAATCATATTAACTGTAGGTTGGACAACTTACAGGGGAGCCTTCCTTTCGTCTTTTATCTCATCTTCCAAGGACTCGACTCAGCCAACCAGTTCATCCTATTTATTATATTGATCATTAGTTAGCTTTTTTGGTTTGCCACAAACACACCAAAAAAAAAACCTAATTGAAAAACCTACGGATTGAAAAATTATAATTACTAAAACTAAAGACTCTCTGAGATCTGTTTTGCTTTAAAAAAGATCTAATAGTCGATCACCAAGTGTCAGTATCTTTCTTGATATTTACGGAAAAAGCATGTAAAGAACTACAGATCAGATCTGCAACACGATCTCCATAATCTCCAAACAGAATTCAATAAGAATTGAAGCAGATGTCAGCTTTAGAGTAATGAAATTAACGTTACTAGATATAGCATAAATTGGAAAGTTGAGCAGAAAAATTTATTGGAATCCAAACATTTACATAAGAAAACGTTATATAAATTTACCTTCTCAAGCTAGGGGCCTCGGACAAACCTAAAAAACCAACTCTTGAAATGTTATGAACACCTAACTGATAGTAATCTGATTCTACAAGGCTGACAACAGGATACACATCAAAGTATAGTGTGAGTGACACTCGAACAACATAATCTTCAAAACACCAAAGTATATATGGCGGATCTTTACTAATTTTTATATCTATCTGCATGATGAAGGAAAAAAAAATCGACATATAGAACTCTTGGTGATTATCATGAGTCAATAACTTAATGAAAACAATGCATGATTTTCATATATGTAAGAAACGATTGGTGAACAAGATTGACAGCGGCTGCGAAATCGTATTGAAATGAAACTTAACATATCGTATATATATAGTGTGGGCGTAACCCTAACCCTGATCTCTAGATCTAGCGTTGGTGATTTTTATCAAGCTCCCCTATTATTGTACATATCTTCAAATAAAACCCTAAGGTTACGCAAAATTACACTTTGATTGCTTGATGAATAAAGTGTTACTTGATTTTTTATATGTAATTTTTTAAGAACTCTTATATATAAATGGCCACAGCCCACAATACTTGAGTACCTTTTTTTAACATAAATTTAATCATTTGTAGACTACTCTTAGTTCCACATATGCCTCCAACAAGACGAGAACCTTCGACTTCAAGGAGGGGCAACACCTGATACGGTTAGATTATTATAAGTGTTTTGGTAAATGGCAACAATACTCTTGATTTTTTTTTTTTTTGGAAAAACAGTTGTTACATTTTTCTTTCTTGTTTAAGTGAGAATATATTTCATCATTTGACATTGTAATTATTCGAGGTTGAGTATCCGATATTCATGGTCTATCCTTTCAACATAAGATGGCGTAATTAGCACAAACGTATTAAAATGTTTGGTTACAAAATTAATGGTTTCAATAAATGTTAAAAGTATGATTTACTTGTTAAATGAAATCACAATAAATAATATACGGCTAATTCTATTGAACTTAAAATTAAATTTCGGGACGAAACCGATGTTCATAATGTACATAAAGTAAAATCGTGCATGTATTTATCGTTTAACATGCCCTTGAGTTCAACTCTATAAGTCAAATAATGCTTAATGATAAGTATTTTGTTTTATGAAAGTCTTGTTCGAATGTTTATTTAGTTGAATATTGGATTACCTGATTATTAGATTAATCACACCCTGGTGTTTTTATATTAGCACATTGTGGTACATTGATTGGGACTTTGTAATTTAAGTATATTTGGATTCCTATTACTATTTTAAGTCAATGTGAGTTTCACAACACGTTCAAACATGCTATGGACGATTAAATCTCAAGAATTAAATTTGTTGGTAAATATCCATTGATTTTCGATAAATAATTGCAAGAATCACGTACACCTGATAAAAATATATTTGTGAATTTGGTATAAGTTTAAAACCTAATGGTGGATATATCAACTTACCAAACTCAACTATGGGCAATGTAATAACTGCGTTAGGCATATGTTGCATGCTACTCCACCGTGACTAACATGAAGAAACCCTAGATTTCTCATCCGATACAACATACCTTACTGTAAATGCTCTACGTTCATCAACAAACAATAAGGGGGAACAAAAAAAGTGGTAAAAAATGAAACAATTGTAAGGGTGTTCTACTATTAATCATTTTGCATGAAATGAACATCTAACAGAATAAAAATATACATGTTTTCTAAGCAATGGACAAGCATATTTCACAACTCAACAGCACAACCATTTTTTCTACGATTTTGAGCACTATAACTTGCATACAACCACCTAATTCTAACCACATAAGGGCCTTGGTTAAGCCGTTTCGATGGCCCCACAATAGTCTTTTCCTATTCAGTATCCCACCATCAAACACTTGCAACATCATGTATGTCTTTCTTGATTCCGGATGGATAATGTAGCATTCGCACGTAGGGCCTAAAACTTTTAGATCTAAGGTTTTCTATGTATAAAAAACACTTAAATGAGGTAGTGAAAAAACAACTTATGATATCTTCCACTGTTTTTGTTGGATTAAGTGTCGAATCACATAACTATAATTTGTATATACTTGAACTGATTGTAGCATAGTTTTTTTGGGTTGCCCTCATAACTAGCAACTGGACGACATGACTTTTGGAGAGAGAGAGAGGGAGAGAGAGAGAGAGAGAGAGGTTGATTTATTATATAATTAATAAATTGAAATAAATAATTTATTAATATGTTGTGAGAACAATATATTAATTACAAATAGTTATATATAATTAATATTTAATCAGAAATTAATAAAAATTAAAAGAATTAATTAAAAGTCTAGGGTCTAATGTCCAATTGTTCAATAGTTGAACAAGAGGCTCCAGAACCTTCTTGGAGAAGGTTTGATGGTTTCAATAAGGATATTCTATGGTTTCTATAAATATAAATAAGGCGTTGGATAATTACCATTTGAAATATTATTATTATCTTAAAATTTGGGTTATCTACAGCATCCTTGTTGGACAATAAAAGGGCCCTCATCCCGAAGGATTTTGGCCACTCATATCTTTAGACATATAACTAAAATTCTTATATGCCCCTCTCCTCTCTCCATATTCATCTTGTTGCTAGTGTTCGGTGTGAACCACTAGAGGCACGATATTTGTGGTGCTTTCTCTCAAGGCTTCAACAACACAAAGTTCTTTGTTATTTGTCAACAACAATCAAGGTATGTTTCTCTTAGCCCTAATCACATTTTCGAAAATATGTTAGGTATACTAGTGTTTCTTATTTGATGTTGAAAGTTGTATATTTAATTAGAGAAAACATACATCTTATTCTAGGGTTGCATGCACACTTATTTTTTTATTATTTATTTATTTTTTTGTTTTGCGTAAAACCGATCAGTTTTATCATTCCACCCTTATGTGATGAGATATCCCCAAAATGAAATTCCTTTTAATTCTAATATGAATACTATCCACCATAGGTTCTATAGTATTCATGATTAATAAGCTATTGATAAACTGCTATTCAACCCATAGTTGTCAATATCGCGATCCTGATCGTAGGATCGTACGATCCTACGATCCTAGGTATGAAAAACGATCCGGATCGAAAAAGTATCGTATTTGGGGTAGAATCGCAGGTAAGATCGTAAGATCGTAGGTAGGATCGTAGGATCGAGATCCGATCCGATCCTACCTTTCTTTGATTTTTTTTTTTTTTTTTCAAATGAATTTTTTTTTGCAAATGAATTTTTTTTTACCACTTTATGCCTTTTATCCTTTACCAATCTACCATTTATCATTTTTTATTGTGATTTATGACTAATATTTTGAAATTTTTATAACTTTTAAATGAAAAACTAAATGTTTGAAATAGTTTTCATGATTAAATATTATAAATTAAAATTATATTCTATTTTGTGGGATCTTAGGATCTCGATCCCGATCTTACGATCTCGATCTTGCAAAACCAAAATCGATCCTAGGTAGGATCCCGATCTTGACAACCTTGATTCAACCCTTAAATTAATTAGACTATTAATTAATTCTCATAATATTTTCAAATTACTTTATAATTAGTTATTAAACCATAATACGTAATAAATCAATTCCCCTTTTGTTGATTCTACTTGATTTGAGTATTGAAGGCAACTCAAGAGAACATTCCTATTATTATAGATATCAACAATAGTTAATGATCTTGGAGACACTTTCCAACAGTCTACCACTTTGACAGACATCAACTATAGATGACGTTGTTTTGTCAAAAAGTAATACTTGCAACACTATTTGGAATCACATTGCTCCAACCAAGGAAAACATCTTAATTTGCATGTTAGGCTTGGTCATCTATACACTAGATTGAACCTCCTTAGAATTAGGATCCCTTTGCAATCATCTATATGAGCCCTCCGTGCGACAAGCAATGAATCTGTGCCCATCATGTATTTATTTGAAGTTGGGCCACCTCTACTCTGATGGCCCTGTTATGGATATTGTAGATATGGCAATGAGGTTGTCTTCCGTTTGAAATTCAAGAGCAGCAAAGAGTTAGTAGTGAATGACCTTGAAGATACTTTCCAAGAGTCTACCACTTTGACTGGTCATCAACTATAGATGACCATGTTTTGTCAAAAAGTAGTACTTGCAGCACTATTTGGAATCACATTGCTCCAACCAAAGCAAACATCTTAAGAAAACATCTTAATTTGCATGTTAAGCTTGGTCATCTATACACTAGATTGAACCACCTTAGAATTAGCATTCCTTTTCAATCATCTATATACACGCTCCGTGCGACAAGCAATGAATCTGAGTCACACTTATTTCTTAAATATCCTAAAGTCATTGAGGTAAATGTGATTTTGCGTCATTGGTGGAGGGATATCCCTATTACCAGTGTGCCCATCATGTATTTGTTTTTGAGGTTGGACCAATTCTACTCTGATGGCCTTGTTATGGATAATGTAGATATGGGAAGAAGGTTGTCCTCTATTGGAAATGTTATGGATAATGTAGATATGGCAACGAGGTTGTCTTCCATTTGAGATTCAGGAGCAACAAAGAGTTAGTAGGTGACATCCAAGTATTATATAGCTAGAAAAGATGACTAGTTTTGTTAGTTAATCTGGTCTCTCAATCGTGGCAAAGATTGCCACAACTACTTGTAGCTCTAGCCTCTCACTAGCTTTGTTTTTATATAAAAAAAACACCCTTAGGTTTAAAAAAACATCATATAAATAATACCCACTTATATTTTTTAAGATTTATTGCGCATACTCAATGTCTCAGTAGATGTGAAATGTTTTGCCATCCACAAAGGTTGGACTGAAATTTTCGAATACGGGAAAGTATTGAAAGTTTAATACGTTTGAAATGTTATTCCTTATTGAAACGTGTGCTTGCATCTCATGAGAATAGATTATGAGTAATGTGAAATATGTTTAATGAATCATGAAGTATTCAGATTCATATGCATACATTGATACACTAACACATACAATACACATTTCATATATATTTATACTCATACAAATAATTTGACAGAAAATAAAACAGGTTTTAAAAAAAGATGAATCCACCGTATAACCAAAGAAAACTACATCCGCTACTTTTATCAGCAAAGTAATGTATAAGATTGACCAGTAGATGTTTTGTACTTAGGACATGATTTTTGGTGTTAGGGCTTTAGTGGTTACTCTCTAAA